ATAAAAGGCGATGGATGCTTTTTAAGTAAGTGAAAACTAGTTTTGTAAATTATTATTTTTCTTTCTTTAGATAGAATGAACATGAACATCATTAGATGAAGAACAATTGATTGAAAAGACAGTTTTCCTTCTACACATACAATTAACTTCAATATGAAAAGGTAAGCAAAAATTAACCTAATATTTTTTTTATTTCTTTAGATAAAAGGCGATTGATACATTTTAAGTAAGTGAAAACTAGTTTTGCATATTATTATTTTTCTTTCTTTAGATCGAATGAACTTGAATAACATTAGATGAACAACAATTCATCCAAAAAAAATTTTCTATTCTTCAAATACAATTAACTTTAATATGGAAAGGTAAGCAAAAATTAACTTAATATTTCTTTTATTTCTTTAGATATAAGACGATTGAACCTTTTCTAAGTAAGTAAAAACTAGTTTTGTATATTATTATTTTTCTTTCTTTAGATCAAATGAACTTGAATATCATTAGATCAACCACAACCAATTCAAAAAACATTTTTCCTTCTTCAGATACAATTAAATTCAATATGAAAAGGTAAGCAAAAATTAACCTAATATTTTTTTATTTCTTTAGATAGAAGACGACTGAATCTTTTCTAAGTAAAAGCTAGTTTTGTACATTATTAATCTTCTTTCTCTAGATAGAACGACCTTGAATATCATTAGATTAAGACCAATGGATTGAAAAAAATTTTCTGCTCTTCGGATACAATTAATTTTAATATGAAGAGGTAAGCAAAAATTAACCTAATATTATTTTTTTTTCTTTAGATAAAAGACGATTGAAACTTTCTTAAGTAAGTAAAAACTAGTTTTGTACCTTATTGTTTTTCCTTCTTTAGATCGAATGAACTTGAATATCATTATATGAAGAACAATTGATTCAAAAAAATTTTCCTTTTTCACATACAATTAGCTTCAGGATGAAAAGGTAAGCAAAAATTAACTTAAGATTTTTTTATTTCTTTAGATAAAAGACAATTGAACCCTTTCTAAGTAAGTAAAAACTAGTTTTGTATATTACTATTTTTCTTTTTTTAGATTGAATGAACTGGAATATCATCATATCAAGAACAATTGATTCAAAAAAAAACAATTTTCCTTCTTCACATACAATTAACTTCAACATGAAAAGGTAAGCAAAAATTAATCCTAATATTTTTTTTAAATTGTTTTGCAGTATTGGAAATTAACTTTGAACGGAAAATTCAGTTTTTCTTTGAAAACATTTTTATTGAACGTTACTATCAAGAGAAACGACGAATTCAAAATTGAATATGCAGTATTATGTGAATTTTGGTCCAACTCGATGGCATAGTTGTGGAAAGCAAACAGTAAGCTTTATCGATTTGAATATTTTTCTTTTTATGTTTAGGTCCGTCGTTACATCAAATGGAAAAGGATCGGAAACAACAGATTTTGGAGCGTACTGCTTCAGTGTGTATCAGTTTCTGCTTGCAGACGAGCAAATGACTTGGAGTTGTGTCTGCGTCAAGTCTTAGAAACTGTACATGTTCTCTAAAACGAGGAGTCTATTCAAAGTGACTTCAATGAACGAGAACGGAAAAGTTGAAATTGTCAGGTGTAGCGTTGTTCATGCTATACTTGGCTATCTTAACTTTTCTGTTCTGGTGCGTCGAAGTCACTTTGAATAGACTACTCGTTTTAGAGAACATGTACAATTTCTAAGTCTTGATACAAACGCAGCTCCAAGTCAATTGCTCGTCTGGAAGCAGAAACTGAGACACGCTGAAGCAGAACGCCTCATAACGTGTCTTGATTGTGAGCCATTTTGGTTCACTGTCTCGAAACCCCTTGCAAGGGTTTATGAACTTTTTCTAAACCCTTCCACTGGTTTATGTGTGTTTCCTAAACCTTTATATGGGTTTATGAGTGTGTCCTAAACCCTTGGCTATACCCCAATATGGGTTTATGTGTGTTTCCTAAATCCTTATATGGGTTTATGAGTGTGTCCTAAACCCTTGGCTATACCCCAACATGAGTTTATGTGTGTTTCCTAAACCCTTTTATGGGTTTATGAATGTGTCCTAAACCCTTCACTATACCCCAACATGAGTTTATGTGTTTCCTAAACCCTTTTATGGGTTTATGAATGTGTTCTAAACCCCTGGCTGTACCCCGATATGGGTTTATGTGTGTTTCCTAAACCCTTTTATGGGTTTATGAGTGTGTCCTAAACCCTTAAAAGGGTTGTTGAAAGTGTAACGTATAATAAACCCTTAAAGGGTTTATGAACTTCCTAAACCCTTAAAGGGTTTATGAACTTCCTAAACCCTT